CCAGTGCGAACAAGAGCGCAACATTACGAATTAGAGCGCAACGCAGAGGAACAACTTGGTGACGAATTAGAGCGGTTAGGAGGTATTGAAGTCGAGCAAAGTAATAATCCACGTCAGCAAGCACATACCGTTTATCGTCCAATACAGTTCATCATGACCGAGAAACTAGTAAATTCGATTCTCTGAAAAAGTTTAGAACAGCTACCGAAGTTCAGTCGCACAATAACTAATGATGTAGACAAATGGATAACTGATATTACACACGAATTAAGTTTAGTCAAGCTGGATGATTCACACAAACTGGCCGTCATTCAAACGTATCTCGACGGTGGTATACTAACAATCTGCAGATGATGCATATCTGGGCAACCTTCTTACGCGAATTACGTGCGACGTTTTCATCATCATTTTCTAAAGAGGCAGCCATTAAACAAATTGGAAATCGCCAGCAACGTATTGATGAAACCGTCTTACATTATTACACAGATATGATGGAACTGGCTAACAGAATCGATCATCAAATGAACGGCGAACTTAAGGTGGTGTACCTGACAACAGGCTTGAAAATATCACTGAAAAAAGAAGTGCTGCGAAACAAACCGCAAACCCCAGCTGAATTTACCAAATATGCGCAAGACGAAGAAAAACTGGGCTCCTCCATTACAACACAAATATCAAATGATAATCGTCTTACAATACCGATAGATTATGTCGCGCCGTCAGTCAGAAGTCTGCTCTTAAGAGCTTCGAATAATCTGTCTTCATTCAGACAGCAACGTCAACAGTCGTATTATCCAAGTCCACAATATTATTCGGCACGGTCAACATGTTATCAATGCAACAAGCCTGGACATTTTGCACGTGACTGTTGGTCAAAAAACTGTTAATGGGAGTACATGATGGTCCTGCTCCCACACAGCGTAATCCATCATTGTTAATCTTCATTCCAGTTATGATTGATGACCACAAAATTAGAGCAATGGGGGATACGGGAGCAACATGTTCCCTCATCACAATGGCAACAATAAGAAAACTCAGTAAGCAACATCAGATCTATGGTCAACCAGGAGAAGTGACGCTGGGCTATGCAAAAGCAAAAATAAACCGATGCGGAATGGTTTTCCTTTCGGTTAAAATAAATGGTTTTAAATGTCTGGTGAGAGCAATGGTGGTCGATAGCCTGGTGGCCGATTTCGTTTTAGGACTGGATTTCATACGGCAGTACAAAGTAGATATCCGATCAGTACAAGAGTGTCTCAATCAAGACCCCGATTCATCACGTCATCAATACCGGCGATCATCCTCTGATCAATGCCAAACCATACTTCAAGCCCGTTAAACAACGAAAGAACATTCAACAAGAAATAGATAAAATGTTAAAAAATGACATCATTATTCCATCTCAGTCTCCATGGTCATCGCCAGTCATTCTATTGAAAAAAGCCAAATGGAGAATTTCGATCCATCGTAGACTATCGAAAGCTCAATTCAATCACAAAGAAAGACTCGTATCATCAGTCGACAATGGAAGAGCTGCTCCAACGATTGGGTGGCCATTCATGGTTCACAAAAATCGTTATGTTTTATGCATAATTGATCACTTTTCTAAATGGGTAACGGCTATAGCATTACCAAATTGTACAGCTCAAACAACTGCCGAAACACTATACAATGAATATATATGTATGTTTGGTGTTCCATCAGTTATTTGATCTGATAATGGTCCACATTTCCAGAACCAACTAATGGCAGCGTTAACACAACTTATGGGCCACAACCACATATATTCAACTACTTACCATCCGCAAACCAACGGCACAGTCGAGCGGTTCAATGCAACGTTCGTCCCACAGCTTGCAAAGCTACGGGACCCGGAGTCAAATAACTGGGACGAATTTCTTCCATCAGTAGTGTTTGCATACAACACCGGTCAATATTTTTCGACCAAATATAGCCCATTTCAATTACAATACGGCCAAGATCCTTAGTTACCAGCGGACCAACCTCCGAAAACGTTTACCTTCAATAAACCTTTATGTTTAAGATTTTGCACATGGTTTATAGGTTTGTTTTTGACACTGATAACAACAGTTGTAAATACATATTTCTATTACAAAAAGAATGTATTTAATCTTCCATTCCACATAATCATGTTATCATATCCAACAGGGAAATTTTTACCATTTGTATTGCCCAAAAAACGGTTTAAACTATGTTTTGGATATTCATTTTCATTCAATCCTGGACAATTTTCAATGAAAGAACATGGACTTATAGTTCTAATGGCTACATCAATTTATTCATCGTTTGCTCTTAATTCGATTGATAGTCAACAAATATTTTACAACAGATCTGTGAATCCTATAGTTTCCCTTGTTTTTATAGTTTCTATAAAATTAATTGGTTTAAGTATTCCTGATATAATGCGTCGTTTCTTAGTATGGGCTTCAACAATGATGTGGCCGGCGAACTTTCCCTATATAATTCTCCTTCGTACCTTGCACGAAAAATCACTTGTTGGGGTCTAGGACAGTTGCTCGCGGGGACAGTTGCTCGCGGACACTTGCTCGCGGACACTTGCTCGCCAGGACACTTGCTCGCTAGGACATTTGCTCGCTAGGACACTTGCTCGCCAGGACACTTGCT